CAGATTCCATCTATGTAAAACTTGCTGTAGTACAAATTGTATCTGCCAGTATATGTATCGTAGAGGGTGTATATAAGGTACGTGTATAACTGGTCCGATGTCATTAATATCTCTGCCTTGTCTGATCAAAATTGGCCGCAACTCCACAGGAATAAACCCAAGCAGATTCCATCTATATAAAACTTGCTGCAGTTACAAATTGTATCTGCCATGCATGTACTATGTATTGTAGAGGGTGTATGTTATTATGTGAATAACTCTTGCGGTGTCTCTATCTGTTATTAATATCTCTGCCTCGAATCATCAAATTCTCCAACAACTTTACAGAAATAGACCTAGCAGATTCCATCTATGTAAAACTTGCTGTCACTGTGACAGTTATACAAATTGTATCTTCCTGTATATGTATGGTAGGGGGTGTAGGGTGTGTGGCTATAAACGCGAAACAGCATCATGGTTCATCTCAGTTGAGGATGACAAAAAACAACAACAACCCATCCCCAGCTGGTCTCCTCGGTTGTATATAGACAGGGCTGACCTGTTTCTGTGTCTGTTAGAATGATACGGAGGAGGAGTGTTGTATATAGACAGGGCTGACCTGTTTCTGTGTCTGTTAGAATGATACGGAGGAGGAGTGTTGTATATAGACAGGGCTGACCTGTTTCTGTGTCTGTTAGAATGATACGGAGGAGGAGTGTTGTATTTAGACAGAGCTGCCCTGTTTTTGTGTCTGTGGGAATGGTACAGAGCAGGATTGATGTAGAATTGATGGACGTGGGGAATCCCGCAGGAGACACAGAAGAGAGAAACCATCCGTCAGGATTCTCCGCCGCTTTCATGTCGGCTTCGGAGCGGCCGCGTGGTTATTATAACGTCAGATCACTCCGACAGCGCCCGATTTGTGACGAGAGCTTTTATCTCTGGGGATCACAAGGCCACAGCAAGTTATTTACTCGGTTTTCAGACAAATTGGAGTTAAAGTTTAACAAGTCAATTGACATACAATGTACAATGTAGCTGAAGGGGAGTTGTTTCTTCCATGTATGTTGTTAGAAAGTGAGTTGTGAAACATTTGGCCAATTAGTGAAGAGCACTTTTACCTCTGGGATCAGAAGGCTACAGGAAGTTATTTACTCGGTTTTCAGACAATTTTTGGGTAAAGTTTAACAAGAATTGATATAGCTGAAGGGGAGTTTTTTCCATTATGTTGTTAGAGATTGAGTTGTGGAACATTAAGTTTTGGATGGCATCTCTCCTTGGTGCTGAAAATCATGCAGTGTCTGTAGAAAGTATTAAAAATCATGTTTTCTATTATCCTTTGTTTTTATCCTGACTTATGAATAATTTCTTTTTTTTTTCTTCCTTTTTCTTCTTCCAAATGCCCAGAAACTAAGAAACTTTTACTAAGTTGGGGTGGCCTAATTGTAAGACCTGCCAAAAATAGTGACAGAGGTTGCTAGATGGTATTGCAAAAAACTACATACAGTATAATACAGCTTTTTTGGTTTCCAGTTCTGAAATAAAGTGACATTACATACTAGGTAATATGTCCACATGTTGCATTTGATACTCACATATCAAGCAAACAGCAAGTTGCATTTCTCTGGCCCTGTGCAGGTATGATGAGGGTATTCTGAGGTGAGGTGAATTCTCCCAGTTATTAAAGATATGCACCATAACCTGCCAGCTTATTAGTCTACTCCCAGCTTTAATTGTCTGCTGTGGGTAATTAACACTGTCTATATGTTCTCTGGGCAGGAACAATTTTATTTGTTGGTTCTCAGATTTGAAAAAGGTAATGCTGAACTGAAGGTGAAAGGTTGACCTGAAAAAAAAAACAAGTCAGGAAAGATGTACTAGTACCTTGGTACACACAGTTTTAGGGGTCCCAGAAGAGATATAGCAGGAGGGAGTCTAGTTTTCCTCCCAGCCATCTAGTTTTGATACTCAGCATGCTGCATTTTTATTCTTAGATTTGTCTGAGAACCAAAGAATAAAGACACTGGTGAAGATGTGGCCTTGGGTGATAGTAAAGATTCTACTCTTTCAAATTTAATGATCTAATTTTATAGCATATATATACACACCAGTTCTGTGTAGTCTCACCTGCTCTTTTTGATAACTTTTGGGACTTAAGTTTTCCTCCAAGCCTTCTGTTTCCACTAGTTCAACAAGTTCTTATCTGAAATTTTGGAAAACCATTTCAAAGAGGACATCTGTAATCCAGCTAGGTACTCAATTTTATATTGTCAGGTTTGCAAAATCTAGCATTAAGTAAAGAGGCTCTTTTTACAGAACTAAGTCTGTTATTCAGCCGACGTTTCGGTGACCGTCTGTCACCTTCCTCAGGGCAGTTCTGACTGGTTCACATTGCACATCGGCTGAATGAAAGACTAACTTGGTTTTGTACAAGAAGAGTCTCTTTACTCAGCGTCTTACCAACCTGCAGAAACTATTTATGCAAAATCTAGCATGGAGCACCTTTAGAAATCTGTGGAGACTGCCTGTATGTGATGTATGCTTCCCTGTAGTGTTTGTGCATTGATTGGTGTGTGTGTGGGGGGGGAGCTGGTGTGTTAGGTTGTACAGATACAGGTAGTCTGCATGTGAAGATTGCCTGTATTTGATGTATGTTTCCCTGTAGTGTTTGTGCATTGATTGGTGTGTGTGTGGGGGGGGAAGCTGGTGTGTTAGGTTGTACAGATACAGGTAGTCTGCATGTGAAGGCTGCCTGTAGTTGATGTATGTTTCCCTGTAGTGTTTGTACATTGATTGGTGTGGGTGTGGGTGTGGGTGTGTGTGGGGGGGGAAGCTGGTGTGTTAGGTTGTACAGATACAGGTAGTCTGCATGTGAAGACTGCCTGTAGTTGATGTATGTTTCCCTGTAGTGTTTGTGCATTGATTGGTGTGGGTGTGGGGGGTAGCAGGCAGAATAAAGTGAGTCGATGAGTGAGTATGGATTTCTCCATCAGCTCCCAGGAGTAGCTGCATCCTTCCTCAGCAACCTGAGACGTTTGTCTTCCTCTGGCAGGAATCTTCAGGGAGGAGCTGTCTTCTTGTAATAGTCTTGTAATAGTCTTCAAGGACAATACTGTAATTCACTTTATGTTCACGGTAGCAAAAGTTCACGGTCTGAGAAAAGTTGACATGTTCATGGAACTATATATTCACGGTGGCGACAGGTGGAGGAAAAAGAAAGTCCAGGAATTATTTGTTAACTGTAATGATAAGTTCACGGTACAGAAGTGACAGTGAAAACAGTAAACATAACAGTACAGTGAACACATCAGGCAACAGTAGTCTTGTAATAGTTTTGAAAGTTCTTTAGCACTGTACAGTGCTCTAGCAAGTGACATATTTCTTTCATTTGATTTTGAGAGAATTTTGCTGCTCATGATAGTAAAAAATTTTGTCCAATCGTTCACCAAAATCCTGTTTTTATTAAATGTCTTCCAGTACAGCACGATATTCTTTTAAACTTTGAGAACCATGTTATGAAATTGGTCTCACTGGCATAAGTGATTTTTTTTTTACAAATTGCAGGCACTAAGAATAGCTCTTAGGCCACACCAATTTTAATTCTTGGTTAACGGATTCACCCGCTTCATTTTTTTCTGATTTCCAAAAAAAAAAATCAGAATCAACTGCAAAATGCTCATATTTTGCCCTGAACAGTTCAAAGCAGTCCTTTTCTTCCTAGTTGTTACAGTTATCCCATCTTTCAATGCAGTGGTATCATTAAAAGTTCAAAATTTATTGTTTAGATTTTGAACCAGCCTGGTGTGTTGACTTCATGGCTCCTATCGTACCATTTTGGGCCATAATAGGATGCCTAGGCCTGTTTCTATTTTTTTTCGCCCGCCCGCTCCATTATTTTTCTAGTAAAATCCGTTAACCAAGAAATGAAATTGGTGTGGCCTCAGGGTAGCATCTCAGGGTCATCTACAAGACGTGCCCATTTCTCCAGACGTCTGGAGGAGTTAAGATCTCGGCTGCTCCTCCCGAGACTGGTCTTAAATCTTGCGGAGCGGCGCAATGATGTCGCGATGATGAGGTCGCGGAAAGACGCGAAGGTCGCGGGTAATTGATTTGCGCGTTTGTCGTCCGATCGTCCGGGTAACGCCGGCCGCGTCGCTGTGACATTTCAAACGTCGTCCCCATCGATTTCCCCCTCCCCCCTCTCTCTGCCATAAAGGCTAACGCACGCGGGTGTAACCCGACCCACTGACACCATGTTGTGCTGGAATCTTTACGGTCCTACCGTTAAAGGTCGTACAGAGGTCACGCACAGGCTACAGTCTCGTGTTTTTCAATTTTCCTGCCCATTTCTGCTGTATTACAGCGACCTTCTGGCGACCTTGACGTCAGGGGGGGTCATACGCGCCTAGACAGCTGCTGTTTCATCATCATTTCATTGTTTTACATCAGGCCACAACAATACATCGCCTTGGTTCTCAGACATAGCAAGGCAAAAATACAGCAATTCATTATAAAAGCACAGGGAAGGTGATCAAACTTTGATATGACACTGTATTCACAGCAGCAAGTAAAAAGTGCAACATGTTGTTTTTATCCAGTTGAGAATAAAAAAAATAAAAAAACCAAGAACCAACGAATGAAATTGGTGTGGCCTTAAGGTGGATGTGCATGATGTAGGTGGTGTCTTGTTGAGGGCTTGCCTATTCATTTCAGTCCTTGTCTTTTAGACATTTAGGAGTAAATCAGGAGCGTCTGAAAACAGCAAAAGGAGTCAGGACAGGGAGGAAAATTTGAATCATGCCATGTTCACTCACTGGAACTTAAATACGTGTGTGCCCAGTGAACAAGAATGCTAGCAGTTGATCAGGAAAAACTTTAACATTCATTTTTTTTTACATTTTTTTTACATCCGAGAATGAACAATTTGAATTACTGTGGCCGTTAGGTGTCCAATTTTGTTGCTTCATTCAAGTACATCTCTTTTGATACTAACTGATTCTTGTTAATTTTTTACCTCACAGACCCACCGTGAGTAAGAAAAAACGGTCCACCGAATCCACACCAGAAAACCGGATAGAAAACCGCCCTTCACCAGACACAGCCAGTACCCAGTCCTGGACTTAAGGTAGGATGGCACACTTTGTACTTCATGCAAAAATGTAGCTTTTGTTGTTGCTAACTTTGCGCAGAATGTTTATTTAGGATTAGTGCATCCGAAAGGACATTAGAATGTGTTGACTGTCCAACATTGACCCACTAGACAGGGTCACATGGAGACATGGAGTCCAGTCTAGCCGACCGCTGCCCACCCGAGACAGGGAAGCCGGCAGCAGTATAATCAAAGCCAGGATATGTATGTATGTTTTGAGGATGTCTAGTGGTACATTAGTGCAGTTTTCACTGATCCAGAAAGTATTAACTTTGCTGGTTTTGTGGATATGGAGTCCAGTCTAGCCGACTGCTGCCCACCCGAGACAGGGAAGCCGGCAGCAGTATAATCAAAGCCTGGATATGTATGTATGTATGTAGTGGAGGAATGCCAAGAAGGGAAAGCTTGAATTCCAAGAAGGCTGTACTTACGTGTTACTTTAACAGATATCTTAGACTTTCCTTTAGACTTAAGTACATTAGTGACCATTACTTGGCTTGTACTTGCATGATGTCTAACTGCTCAGGCCAAACACTGAGCTAGGGGTAGTGGATGATGCAAAGAAGGGAAAGCTTGAATTCCAAGAAGGCTGTACTTACATGTTACTTTAACAAATATCTAAGACTTTCCTCTAGACTTAAGTACATTAGTCCATCACTTTGCTTGTACTTGCGTGATGTCTAAGTGCTCAGGCCAGGTACTGGCTATGCTTGCGCCAAAAGTCCATCTGTCCATTAAGAGCTTTCATGTAAAAACTCCAGATACAGGCTTGTTTGATGCACCATGTTGGAGTACAGGGTGTGTCTGTTAAACACACCAACATGGCTGCTGCTGTCATCCACCACTAATATGCAAACAAGGTTACCATGGACTAAGAGGTTGGGAGTTTGAATCCCGGCTGATATCGCTCACCAAACATGCACAGTACTAGAAAGGGTTGCAGTCCTCAGGACGGGACGTTAAGCTGTGGTCCACTGTTCATTGTGCTTGTTGAAAAGAGCTAGGGGAATTTCCCCGGTACAATGAACCTGTAAATACTGACATAGTGTCTGTTTTCTCTGTTACGACCAGTGGAAGATTAGCTCTTCAATGAGCTAAACTGGTTGGAGATCACTTTCTTTCTTTCTGTAATCCACCACTAATACCTCCAAACATGGTTACCACTGATATACTTGACTGAATAGAACTGCATCTGCAAGTAAATTAAGTTTTTGGCAAGGGAACTTCCTTCCCTGTGACTGATGTTTTGGCAGTAGCTGCCTTCATGAGGTATAATGACATGATCACTCGGTATTCAAACTATGGTCATTATGATCATGATAATAGATAGCCTCTACTATACAGAACTTTGTCTGTAAGTATAGCTCTTTTAACAGTCAGCCTCAGTCAATTCCTTCACTGATATTTTGGCTGCTTTTAGCTGGCTTCATCTGGATGTAATAGATAATTTTTTTTTCAGGAAATGTTGCGTTTTACCAGGAAATGTTGCGTTTTACCAGGAAATGTTGCGTTTTACCAGGAAATGTTGCGTTTTACCAGGAAATGTTGCATTTTTGCAGGAAATGTTGCGTTTTACCAGGAAATGTTGCGTTTTACCAGGAAATGTTGCGTTTTACCAGGAAATGTTGCATTTTTGCAGGAAATGTTGCGTTTTACCAGGAAATGTTGCGTTTTACCAGGAAATGTTGCGTTTTACCAGGAAATGTTGCGTTTTACCAGGAAATGTTGCATTTTTCCAGAAAATTTCCATTTTGCCAGGAAATATTGCATTTTTCCTGAAACTTTCCCATTTTTCTAGTAAACAGCTTTTTGTCCAGAAAATTTTAGTTCTGTGTGATGCAGTGATAGTTTAGAAAATAAACACAGACTTCTATTCACCCACCCCTAAAACTACTGAACCCTCCCCAGCCACCTCTCAAAGGTCCCCCAATCCGAGGTGTGATTCATATACCTGCTGGTCGACCTCCGACCCTGACCTGTGACCTGATGGGATGATGTCAGGCCGTTGCCTAGCAACTAAGTGCTTGTACCCGGGCTAAGTGCTTGTTCCCGGGATGGGTTGCGCGGTAGACAGTGATGTAGTGTGCAGCTGTGGGGGAGTGGGACGGGTATTCATGGCATGTTACAGGGGAAAGTTCACTAACAGTTATGGGGGAGTGGGACAGGTATTCATGACATGCTAGTGGGGAAAGTTCCGTAACAGTTGTTAGGATGGTTGTAAGTAGAATAAAAGGGCTAAAGTGATGTCTTTCCTGGAAAAAGTACATTTTAGATTTTTCCAGGAAAATGTACAATTTTTCCAGGAAAATTAGAATTTTTTCCAGGAAATGTAAATTTTGTCTTTGAGAGAATCAAAAATTTTTTCTACAAAATGTAACAATTTTCCAGGAAATGTTACATTTTCCCAGATAATGTAAAATTTTTCCAGGAAATGTAACATTTTTCCAGGAAATGTAACATTTTTCCAGGAAATGTAACATTTCCCAGGAAATATACGGCATTTTTTCCAAGAATAGTGCAATTTTCCAGAAAGTAAGGCCTTTTCCAGGAAAGATCTAACAGCATTCCATCCATACCAATCTTTCCTCCACCAGATATATGTTACAGCTCTCTCAGGGCTCAGACGGATTTGTTGTTACCTGCATGCAATACTGCAACAGTATCTGCAGTTTGATCAAAATTTCAGCAAAAGCTTTGGTACATGAAATAGATAATGTTAGATAGATATTGTGTAGATAGATCTGCTAGATTGAGATTCATAATTATATAAATAAGTTTTCAAGTTGCAAAATTGCAAATCTCCTTGCAATCTAGCAAACCCTTCAATATGTAACAATTTAAGTAAGACTAGCTCAGTTCATTATATCCCAATAGTCCACCCTAATATCTTCATAATTCACACACAGGGTACTCTTTCACATGACATTTAAAACTGAACTCCATACCCAGACTAACGGCTTAAAACACAGCCCTACGGATTCCAATGTGGAGCGTTCGAACTTTGGGAAACGAGTTTCTAAATGTGAAGCGACTGTGCTGGGATCATTATTTCTCCTGGAAGAGAGCTCTGCTGCGGTGATGAATCGCAGTTCACCGCAGAGTGTACGTTTTGCATTTTGTGACTGCTGCAAGTGGGATGTATGGATTCTGCTGCGGTTGTCGGACAGGCGGAAAATCATTCATCATCATCATTGTGTGAACTTTCGGGTCAGGAACGGCCCAATACAAATGTCATTCCACGTTTCACAATCCTACATGGCTACCTAAAAAGTATCTGTATCTGCATAGTTCTAGGAAAGAATGAATTTTTTAACACAATCCTTACTTGAAGGTACTTGAAGGCGTGGCTTGAAGGATGTTGATTGTTAATTGTATTTTATAACCAGAAATTTTCAGTCATAAAATCTCCCATCCATACAATATTTTAAGTAACAGATAGGCATAATTTGAAGTTCAAGGTAGGATTGAACAAAGTAAACATTTACACCCTTAAGACAAACTACCCAAGTCAAGACTGCCTTAGTTTTGCATCTTAAGAACTGTTAAAGCAATAAGACGTTGGTGTAATTGGACTCAGGTGAGTCGTTCGTCACTTAAAGTCTCACTATCTTTAAGGAACACGAGTCCCTTAAGGACTTTCACTGTGCAGCATTAAGAACTTTCACTGTGCAACATTAAGGACTTTCACTGTGCAGCATATCTTACCTTCTTATGAGGTCAGTGACCTGGAATTGTAGCAGCAATTGTATAAAAGATGCTGCTTTTTAGAGAAAGTTCTTTCAGATTGAACATTTTATCAAATTGGTACTGTATAACTGGTACAACAGAAATGTTAATTTGGAGGTATGTCTTTGGAAATGCCCAGCAGGTTGATTTGAGTATTTTGTGAATAAACAAAGGCTCAAACAAACAAACAATGTTGTCCACAAGGAATTATAAGTGAAATATAAAGACATTGTAAATCCTTGATAATGATCTTACAGTTACTGTAATAGGAAGTTTGAACCTCAAAAAACAAGAAAAAGCAGTGTCATGTACTAGGAAAGGTAGTAAGATAGACGATGGTAAAGTCTTGATGATGATCTTACAGCTGTAATCTAAGAACCTGCATGCAAGAGTTTTACTTTACCAATGCCCAAACAAACAAATAAACAAACAAACAGTGCTGTGTACCAGGAAAATTAGTAACAAAGACCCTCGCACAGCCTTGAGCCTGATCTTGCTGTAATCTTCAAGAGTCTTACCGTACAAAGACCAAAACAAACAAACAAACAAAACAAGCAGTGGTGTGTTCCAGGAAAGGTAGTATTGTACAGCCTTGAGCTTGATCTTGCTGTAACCTGAGAACTGCGGGAGTTTGCAGCGGCGCTGCTTCTGGAAGATTAACGTGGCGGGAAGCCGCCGATCCTCACCTGGTAATCCGACACCTCGGGGGAACACCTGCGAGGACGGAGATAAGGAGACGTGCCAGGGGAAAGTAAAAAAGTGAGAGTGATCTCAGGCAGGAGTGAAAGGATTTGACACCTGGGAGAGAAGAACAAAGGAGAGACAAGAATTCCTTGTAGGACACAAAACTTCTCCTTGTCAACAAGTGAAAGTGTTTAGACAAGAAAGATAGGAAAGTGAAAGTGGTTAGACAAGCTGACAAGATAAAAACTCTTGTGTTGATCAGAGGTACTAGCAATTGTTTCTGAAGTGTTACAGTTTTTAGTAGGATCCATACTTCCTAAATTCTCAACTGTGCAGGTAAAATTTGTCTGGTGCAGGTAATTTTCTAATTTTCAGTGTTACCTGCAGATACCTTATATGCAGTTAAAAGTATTCAAGCCATGCTGGTAAATAGTACAATTTCTTTAGTACGATCCATACTCCCTAAATCCTGAGTAGTGCAGGTAAAATTTGTCTGGTGTGAAGGTAATTTTCCATGTTACCTGCACCAGTGCCTTATATGTAGTTAAAAGTATTCAAGGCATACTGGTAAATGATAAAATTATTAGTTTTATTGTGATCCATACTAGAGTAGTGCAGGTAAAATTTGTCTGATGAAGATAATTTTCCATGTTACCTGCAGCAGTGCTGGTATGCAGGTAAGGCCACACCAATTTAATTTGTTTGTTCTCGGATTCGCCTCTTTTTTTTCTGATTTGCAAAAAAAACTTCTGGTTCTGAGTCAAGTAAAAAATGCACATATTTTGCCCCCAACAGTTGAGGAAAGTCATTTTTTTCCTAGTTGTTACAATTTTTTTCATCTATCAATGCAGCGGTTTGATTAAAAGTTCACAATTATTGTATCAACCCAGCCTGGTGTGTTGACTTCATGGCTCCTATTATTAATAGCATTTTGGGCCATAATAGGATGCCTAGACCTGTATTTATTTTTTTTTTGCCCTGTAGCTTCATATTTTTTCCTACAAAATCAGAGAACCAGCAAATTAAATTGGTGTGGCCTAAAACTATTTAAGCCATGCTGGTAACTAATACATAAGACTCTACCTGATAATACTTATGCCTTAAGGGCCAGCGCAGTGAAACCAGCTTCTTTAAGATGATAACGACAGACAAAAGGAGGCTTTGTGTGTCTTAAGATTGGAGTCAGGTGGGTTCCTGCTCCGGGGAGGTTCTTAGGAAATGAAATCACGATTCACTCTCGCTTTCGCATTGTTCCTGTGTAATCAGCTTCCATTCATATTCCGTACTTTCCCCGGGAACGTCGCTCTTTTGTTCCCGGCTCAACGTTCCGATCGGAAACCTTCGTCTTGTTAGCGGCTTTTGTTGGCAGGAGTCTCCCGAGAGGCAAGACGTCTCAGGAGGCACTCTCACTTTCATACATGTACGTCTTGCATCTTTATGGACGTCTCAGGAGGCACTCTCACTTTCGTACGTCTTGCACTTTACTTTTATACGTCTTGCATCTTGATAGACATCTTTAAGAGGCACTCTCACTTTCTTACGTCTTGCACTTTACTTTCATACGATTTTACGACGAGTTTTCACTAAATTTTCACTTGAATTTATCCTAGAACCAAGAAATAAATTAGTGTGGCCTAACAGTTAAAACAACAGGCTCCAAACTGGTGGCTGAGAAATGTAGAAAAATGATTTCCCGAAATATAGAAGCTGGCTTAACAATCTACAAAACTATTACATTTGCGAGGAGTTGCTGTGGACACCAAGAGGAACAACATCCTTGTTACACACAGGGAAGGGGGACATACCAACTGGTGTGCTTGTGTACAGCCCTGACGGGAGACTTGTGAAAACTGTACGTCAGCAGGGCATGAACTACCCACAGTACATCACTGTGGACAGGGAAGGAAGAATCCTTGTCACAGATAAAGAAAGTCGCTCCGTGTATGTGTTCAACGAGGACGGAGAGTTCCTCTTCCAGTTTGGCAGAGAGAGACTTAAGGACCCTCGGGGCATTTGCACAGACAGCTCAGGTAACATCATCGTGGCAGACCATGGGAATGCCCGTGTGGAGATGTTCGACAGATTGGGCACATTCTTGCGTCACATCGCTATATACATCCGACCACAGGCTGTTGCCATATCACCACAGGGACATCTTGTTGTTGCAGATGATGTGGGGAATGAACTCACAATATTCCTATGTAAGTCAAGTAAGTCATGTAAATAAAACTTATGATGGAATCTTAAAGTTTGTATTCTTGTTACATTTGTAAATTTTCACTTAAGGATGTCCAAGAACCAAGAAGTAAATTAGTGTGGCGCGACAATTAAAACGACGGGCTCCAAGTCGGTGACTGAGAAATGTAGAAAAATGGTTTTCCGAACCGGAAGTGATGAGAGTTCCACCAGAACTGACCCTTGGCATTTTCCCGCAGGAATCCTGTAAATAAAACAGGACCAATTTTCCAACAGAAATCCATCCTGGTCCTCCCAGGGTCAGACTACTTGACTCCAGTTGTAAGAAAAATGGGCAGAATTACGCCAAATTTGGCCCATTTCAGACTCTGCTGTAATTTGGCTCATTTTTCTGGTGACTAGATTTCCTTGTTGGTTCTTGGATAACTTTAAGTAAAAATTTAGCAAAAACTCTCATCATAAAAACAGGACCAATTTTCTATCAGAAATCCATCCTGAAACTCCACAGGTCAGACAACTTGACTCCAGTCGTAAGAAAAATGGGCAGAATTATGCCGAATTTGGCCCATTTCAGATTCTGCTGTACAGGTCTGTCTCTAGTATGGGTAAGGCCTAGGTGTTTCCTGTTTCAGTCCTGAAAAATATTAGTGTCGGTAGGTAGGTATTATCTTTTTTTCTTCAGTCGTAAGAAAAATGAGCCAAATTACGCCGAATTTGGCTCATTTCAGACTCTGCTGTACCAGTCTGTCTCTAGTATGGGTAAGGCCTAGGTGTTTCCTGTTTCAGTCCTGAAAAATATTACTCCACATTGCAAGTTTTCCTGGTCCCTCTCCAGTGTGGGTTTTTCTGGTCCCTCTACATTGCAAGTTTTCCTGGTTACTCTCCAATGTGGGTTCTGTACAGGTGAAAAGGTGAACGAACAACTTTGTCAATGCCAACATGTGAACCTCCCTGCACATCCCTTAGGGCAGTTGGAAAGGTTAGGCCATGTACAGGGTTAGTCTCCAGTGTGGGTTACAGGTCCATAACGTGGCCATTAACTCACCAAGTCTGCCCACAGGACGATACATCGACTTCACATGTGGCTTTACTACAACCATTATACAGGGCTCCACACCACTGTGGGGTTGAGAAGTTGGAAAGGTCAGACCATTACTTTATATACAGTTATCCTACAGGGGACATTAACACATGCCTGAACACGTGTTCTTAGGCCACACCAATTTCATTTGTTGGTTCTCGGATTTTTGCAGAAAAAATATGAAGCGACAGGGCGAAAAGAATAAAGATAAAAACAGACAAAGGCATCCTATGATAGCCCCAAATGGCATGATAGGAGCCATGAAGTCAACATACCAGGCTGGTTTGTAATTCAAATGTTAAATTTCAAACCTTTAAATTAATCAAACCACTGCATTGATAGATGGAAAAACTGTAACAACTCTGAAGAGAAGGGACCTCCTTTAACTGTTGGGACCAAAATATGAGCATTTTGGAGTTGATTCAGAGGCTAAAATGTTTGTTTTTTTTGCAAATTAGAAAAAAATGAAGCGGGCGAATCTGGTAACCAACAAATTAAATTGGTGTTGCCTCATCCATAGTTCCTAAAGTCTGACTGGTACAGGTAAAAGGTTCCTCCCCAGTGTGAGTTCTCACTCCAGGTGTGGTTTTTATTGTGTACTTACCTGCCTGTAACGTTATCTAGCTCCATTAAGGTGACCTATATCTGCTACACCTGTGTGGTTAAAGGTTATCACCTGTCAGCTGCCCACGTCAGGCTGTAAGCCTGGGGTTTATCACCTGTGTGGGTCTAGCATCAGGTATATGGTTTGTCACCTGTGTGGGTGTTAGGCCTAGGAAAAAAATGTTGTGTTTCCTGTTTCTCGACCGACCCTAGAAAAAAATTGCCGACCCTAAACTTTTTTTTGTGGATCCCTGCAAGGGACATGAATTTTTGGTGGTGTTTACTGGGTGTTTACTGGCTTAGGCCTAGGGAAAATGTTGTGTTTCCTGTTTTAGGCCTGGAAAAATTTGGGTCGGTAGGTAGGGACTTTTTTCTTTTCTTTATCAAACTTTGGGGATCTCCAGTGATCCAACTTATACAATACAGTTTAACAAACTTAAATAAAACTTGCACGAGGTCACTTATATTTTCAATGTCAATGTTGGGAAACTGATTGTAGAACATTTCACCACTCAAGTGTCAGATCATGGAGCTAGAAAAGGTCGATCAGCTCAAAATAATCATGTCCCTTGCAGGGGTCCACCCCCCAAAAAGTCTAGGGTCGGCAGGTTTTTCTAGGGTCGGTCGGGAAACAGGAAACACCATTTTTTTCCTAGGCCTTATCTAGATAGACTTACCCGTGGGTTACTATAGGCTGACTCAGTTATCAGCTGTACATGTCCAGTTGTCTCCAGACTATGGTTTATCTCCAGTGTGGATCTCCATGTAACGTCAGGTATGTCCTCTCCTCAGGTGAGAAGAGTTGTCAGCTGGCACCTGTCCAGGTGTCTCTACTGCTCACCTGTGGTTAGTCTCCTGTGTGGGTCTCAGTATGAGTGTTCTGTTATCCTGTGGTTAGTCTCCTGTGTGGGTCTCGGTGTGAGTGTTCTGTTATCCTGTGGTTAGTCTCCTGTGTGGGTCTCAGTGTGAGTGTTCTGTTATCCTGTGGTTAGTCTCTTGTGTGGATCTCGGTGTGATATATTTTGATAGATCACTTCTACTGTTATCTATACTAGTCCATTTGTAGCACAAAGGGAAAGTGTTCTCGGTTTGATTCAGTGAAAGTGTTGACAGTGATTCAGTACTTGTATCAGAACAGTGAAAGTGTTGACAGGTTGATTCAGTGAAAGTGTTGACAGTTTGATTCAGTGAAAGTGTTTGTATCAGAACAGTGAAAGTGTTGACAGTTTGATGCAGTGAAAGTGTTGACAGGTTGATTCAGTACTTATATCAGAACAGTGAAAGTGTTGACAGGTTGATTCAGTACTTATATCAGAACAGTGAAAGTGTTGACAGGTTGATTCAATGAAAGTGTTTGTATCAGAACAGTGAAAGTGTTGACAGTTTGATTCAGTGAAAGTGTTTGTATCAGAACAGTGAAAGTGTTGACAGGTTGATGCAGTGAAAGTGTTGACAGGTTGATTCAGTACTTATATCAGAACAGTGAAAGTGTTGACAGGTTGATTCAACTGCTTGTATCAGGAAAGTGAAAGTGATTCAGTGCGAAAGTGAGAGTGCTGGCAGGTTGAGTACAGTGTGTCTGGCGTGTGCGGCAGGTGGGATCAGGTGT